GTTCTTAAAAATATATATATATATAGGCCTATATATATATATTTTGTGAAATATTTTTTTATTTTTAATTTTTAATGACAATCAAACATGTGGGAAGAGGGGGGGCGGCGCCCCTAGCGCCCCTATGGGCCGGCCGCCACTGCTGTTAAGTAATAAAGATACCTCATACAAAGGTCTACGGATACCTTATTACTCTCCATGACCTGCGGTCAACTATAGCATAAATGACTATTACACCGTCTTTCTTGAACAATCCGAAGTGTTGCCAAACGTTTGATTTGTAGGTATTTTTCGGTGCGCTGTGTTTCTCTTTCTCCGCAACTTCCGTGTGTGTTGATAACTGAGACTCTCGTTCTCCGGAGTTGCGAAGCAAATATCAAAGATCGTCTCTGCTGAGCGTTGACAAGATGAGGGGATTTTATATGAATGAATCGGTTTTTTACCGATGCAAAGACGCTACGCAATCGATGCATCGCGAGTTCAACCCGGTTCAACCCAAACTGTAGCCGATGTGCACTCTTTCAACCGGTGCACTCGCATCTTGAACGTTTATGCCGGTGCACCGATGCGAATCGGTGAATCTTAACATCTCTAGATGCTACACAATTGGATGCTGTTGGTACCTGTTCATGTGGATAAATTGTAATCCCTGTAATGATGCTGTATGATGTCCTTTTTGTTGTTCTGTTGTTTTATGTTTTTACGTTTCATGTGGAACCTACTTGAGCAGGTCTCACTTGAAAAAGAGATCAATGATCTCAAGGGGCTCACCTGCATAAATAAAGATTTGAAATGAAATGAAAACGGCTGCTTATTCAAATTCAAACTGGATATAAGTGCCAGCTAAATTTCAAAATGATAATGGAGTTAATAAACAATTATTATATTAAAAATATGTATTGTTTCTTTAATCCCACAGGATAGCTTAAATTACCTAATAACATTTTGTCCAGAATGTCAATAATCAGAAATTATGCGAAACATTTTACCTGTATAATTGACTCAGTGAGGACATCAGTGATCACATTTAACAGCTCCGGGGCCTCTCCACTCTCAATTTGGAAGGAGTCGATGATGAGCTTCGTGATCTTGTACAAATATCCGCTGGCGACCTCAAGAGGCAGCAGCACCAGCACGGAGAGCCAGTTGAAGAAGTCGTGAACTGTGGCCCCTGCAAAGGCCCTGGATACATTGTGAAAGGAGGTAGATAAATGCAAAGTGAGATGACCTTTGATCTTTCTAATGGGATTACATATTATTGCTGTACAGGAATAAGTCATCTAGTAAGAAAGCATGAAAGTAAAACTATTTATAATAGAAATCTCCACATTTTGTGACTTTTCAGATACATTTGATGATCATAAATGATAGGCTAAATATAGGATATTAGACAAAGAACACAATGTTCTTGAACATGTTGAGGGCTTTTTGACTGCAGAGAAAGGCAGTAAAAGGAACCAATCCATCAAATACAAAAGAATTACCTGCGAAAGGTGCTGCGGTCACCAGCCTGCGTCATGGCGACGAGTGTGTTGGTGACAGAAGTGCCGATGTTGGTGCCCATGATGATAGGAACGGCCAGCTGGACGGATAACACTGCCGAAGCAACAAAGGTAATCTTAAGAGTGTGTGTGTGTGTGTGTGTGTGTGTGTGTGTGTGTGTGTGTGTGTGTGTGTGTGTGTGTGTGTGTGTGTGTGTGTTCATACTCACGTCCAGAAGAGACCATGCTGACCACTATGGATGAGGAAGTGGATGAGCTCTGGACCAGCAGGGTGACCAGGACACCGATGACCAGACCAGCCAGAGGATTGGACAGCACCGAGTTGTCCTGAAAGATGTCCCCCGCTGCCTTTCCTGGGCAAGGAGAACATAGGAGTATGTGCATATTACCTCCTTCAAACAGTAATAGTATCATTGGCTTCTTTCTGGACAAGGTTACAATACATAGGAATAAAAAGGTAAGTAACCATACAAAATACATCAATCCAACAATGATAAAACAATGATAAGGAATATAATGAAAATGCATTATAAGTGTTTGATGTTACTCAAATCTATGTGCTTTTGAGTAAGTCGTTAAAGCGTTGTGTTGAAGTTGCTGCTGTTCTAAGCTCTCCATTGTAACAAGAGATCTTGAATCTCAATAGGACAAACCTGTTTAAATTAAGTTAAACTAAATATAAAAGTGGCTTAAGATAGGTGTTACTGTGTTTACCTCCAACAAGCTGGAAAGCTGAGCTGAGGAGGTCAAGAGAGCAGATGAAGATGTAGAGGAAACCCAGCAGCAGGATGAACTTCCCCACCGACACCAACACTCTCCACACCTTCCCTTTGGTATCCAAAGCTAGAGTGAGAGCAGAGACTTGACAAATAAATAATAAATAATAAACATGGGAACAGATTGCATCAAACCTTTTTTGGGGTCTTTTCAAAGTCTGCACATGGAAACCAGTGAGTGATTCTTAACATAATCAATGGCTCTGTTACAAAGTAGTAGGACCATGAAGGTGGTAAAGATAAACAGAGTGCAGCCTTCATTAGTATTAGTGATAACAGCTGTGCTTTTTGTGCTAATACATGTTAAAATATCTGAAGTGATAAAAGTCCATTGCACTGCCCTCATGACTCATAACAGTACAGTTTGTTGGCACATGCTGAGCTGTCTGTCTCACTGGCTACTGTCGTTATCATATACATTATTATCTATGACTTCCATTTTATCTTTCTAAGTAGCCCGATAAATGACACTAATTTGATAAATTGTCGACTAATAGGGCAATTATGTCTTGGCAGAATCAGTTACTCCAGTTATACTGTTTATTTGAATGTATTTATATGATGTGCTTGTGTAACAATGTTATGTGCGTTATGTTATGTACACTTTGTCAGATGTACAGTAGGATATGTATACTTTAGTGGGCATGTAAATGTATTACATGGTCATGTACATCTAATCAGGAAACACGTTATCCTCCAAAAGTGCAATGATAAGACCACACTGTACCTTAGTAATAATTGCTCCATTACAAGTCTTTACCTGACCATGGGACCCCTGTGTCCTTCAGCTCCGGCAGGTCCCACGGGTCTATTTCCTCTGGCTCCTCCTCAACCAACGCCACAGTGGAGTGTGCAAGGCTCGCTTTGACCTCTAAGACAGACAAACCAATGCACATTTACGGCACTTCTTTGTAAAACTATATCAATTACATCATCAAAATTCATCAAAAGCCTTCTGTTGCGTTTCACACAAAAATAAATACCTTTGCACATGTTGTCATTAGCACAGATATTGTCGCCTTCCTCGCAATTATTTTGAGTAGCCATTGGCTAAAAAAAGAGAGGGGGAAAATTATATATTATACAAGGATTTCCTTCTGAATGATTGGGGGAAATGCTATTTTTCAAAATAAAAAATGTCACATACTTTCTAGGAAATGTATTCAAGTTTAATTTGAGCTGTATGAACCTTAATTGTCTGAAAAAGACATTTCAGTCAAATCAAATCATTACATTTGACCAACATGTATGTGTGTTACATACTTAGAGTTGTTTAACAGCTAATTATGAACTGTTAGACAAAGTATGTAACACGCACACAAACACACACACACACACACACACACACACACACACACACACACACACACACACACACACACACGCCAGGGTATTGATCTTTTTGGCATGTGGTCTAGCTGCAGTAAAATTCCATTCAAACAACATTATGATCAGTTAGATATTTGAATTAATGTGTTATCTATTAAAACAAATCTTTATTAATGTACTTATATTATATGATGTATATCATTCATGTACACAACACTCTGTGAATGTATGTCCATAATAGTATCAACACATGTTTTTAAACAATTGTATGTTTTAATGGTCGAAACAGGTAATATTTTTCAAGATAAATGTCAATGTGTTCTTTTATCACCTGATTAATCAATTCCATATAAATATAAATACTTTACCAGTATTTCAATAACCTGGATCAATTTTGTCCTTTGTGTTTGCAGCCAGGGCAAACGTGTTGATAGACTTACATGCAACTCATGTTAATCATTTATCAAAATGATACCTTAAGAACTTTTAACATAGAAATATGGCTTTGTACAAACTATAAGATATCTCATTATGTTACTATGATAAAATATGTTACCATCATAATAATAACAGCACACCTAAAGGCCTCGTAAAAATCTTAAGCTAAGTTTAGAGAAAAAAGTATATCTGTAAGAGTATAACTCAGGTATATAATACACTGTATAAAGCAATAGCATATCTTTGTGATTTATTTACCCTTAATACATACAATTTATTGTATTGTATTCAATCTCAAATAGTAAATTAATATGAAACAGTTTATACATCATTCAGATCAATAGAAGCTATGCTTGTCCTCACCTGTGGCTGGCCGCGCGAGTCCATGCTCCCTATGTGTGCTGAGCTCACCTGGGCTTCAGGTTTAGACGTGCTACCTCCACGCAGATAGAGTTAAAGATTGGAGGTTGAGGTTCGTGGAGGGCAGAGAAGAGTGTGATGTGCACCGTTCACATCACAGAGGGAGTTCCCTCACATGGATAAGATGACCGCGCCTTTCAAACCTTGCTTAGTCTTACCTTCAACTGTTAACTGTAATCTCTCTGCAGGTTGTGTTGCAATCCCCCTCACATGGTCCCTGATAAGTCCTGAGTTGGTGGTGTCTACCTTCACCTGCACCTACACTTGATGTTATTACCCAAACGCCTGGTTTTAGGCCTGAGATTTATATAAGGTTCTATTGTTTGTTGGTCCGTTTTGCAAATATGTCCATCCATTTAAAAAAAGAATTCCTGTATGGCCTTAACAAAAGTACTCCACAGCCCTCAGTGATGCTGGCTCCAGCTGGTGGTCCAATGTGAGAGGAGTGTCATCGAGAATGACTCCCTGGCAAAGGTTTATCCTAACAGATAGACCGCATGGGGTAGTGAGGGGGTAGCCGGATGTGCACTATGTTCTATTTTGGGCACATGATGAGATTTTTTTGGAGCAATGTATTGATTCTCTTAATACAGCTACCCATTGTTCAATACTTCCAACACATCAACGACTTACGTTTAGCCCCATCAAACTGTTGATGATGGCACAAAGAACTGAGAGGGACAAAATTCAGCCTCGGCCACATGGAAGCTGTGACTGGAAAAGGTTTGGAGGAAATCTATAATTCACTATGCTTTATTTGCATGAATTTATAAAGGAACTATAAACACTATAAAGAAATTAATAAAGAAAAAAAAAAGGAAATATCTTCTATTTTTTTGTCTCTGAGTGGTGTGCACACATACAGTCCCTATCGCTGTACTTTAACATCTCAATGCACAATGGAGTTTTAAATATGAATCCATTATTTGTTAACTATTAACTGAATGGTCAACTATTTTGATAATCCATTAATCATTTTGAGTGATCGTTTAGAAAAGCTCTTTGATTTCAGCCTTTTAAATGTAAATATATCTTGGTTTCTTAACTCCTTTATGACAGTAAACTTGAATGTCTTTGAGTTCTGGACAAAGAAAAACGTTTGAGGATGTCATTGTTGGCATTGGGAAACACCAATCAATATTGCAGAGTCCTGGAGGGATGATGTTTTGTGATGTAGGCCAAGCCAAAGGTTAGAACCACCCTGGTTCCCTGGGACAAAAAGCCAATGGGGTTTTTCCATTGAATCTTAGATATACTTTACATAATCTTCACATATGAACACCAAATGTATCATTTCTGAACTATAAACACAACTTTTAGAAGGTTAGAGCTATATTAAGCTCTATATTAGGCTACAAAGGAACTATGACTACAACTCTACCACTACAAAGCTGAAGGCAGACAAGTGTTTGATGGGTTTACATTAAACTTGCCTCTTTTAAGACTGGTTAAAAGATTTACATTTCTCATGTGAGGCATTTAAGACATAATTGACTGTTAGCTCAAGTGACCAATAATTAATCACAGGTGCCCCTCTACAGTGACAATGCAGCCAATTTTACATTTGATTGGCCCCTAAACCGCTCTGGTGTGTGAACAAAAAATAATCATAGCCCTCCTCTGTCACACACACAACCACAGATCAAACACAAATTAATTTTGTTCTAGCACTTCCTCTCATGTCATTTTGCCAGTAATATTGAATGGAGGATAACTGGGACAACAAAGGAAAATATACACCTCTATTTTTAGTTTTATCGATAAATGTAAGCCTATTGATTGTGTAGTCACTCATCATCACCCCTCTGTCTCTTCGTGCCTGCTTTGTCTAAACAGATACAATTTTTTAGATACTATCTTTTTCAGCACTAGCATAAAATATTAGCTCTACTTTATGCAATCACATGTAAGAGGCAATCAAAGTCTTCTTTTTCAATCAGTATCAACAGCATCACCTAGACACCATACAATGCCATTACAACATTTCCTATTCCCTATTGGCAACGTCTTGACATTGTTTGGATGTAAATAACTGGAATACTGTTGTTTTAAAAAAAACAATTGTCGTCATTTGTAGATGCAAAATGAACATACTGCAGCACAGAGTAAGCAAAATAGTTATACAATTGATACTTAATGAAATATTGTACTTATTTATGTAACTAAAGAAAGTGAATGTGCGAAATATAAAAATATAAATATAACAATGTAAGAGAATAGTGTAAAGTAATGTAGGCCTATGTAATGTTATGTTATTCTTCCAGTTGTGTAACTTGTGCAGCAATTAGCCTACAATGCAAAGGCTTAGTTGTGAACAATAAATACAATAGCCTATTCATAATCATATAACTTTTACTATGACTTACTATTACATTACTACTTTGTATTGCCATTATTATACCAAAAAGATATTCCACTGTTATTTAGGCTACAACCACTAGATGGCCTAGGTCGAATACCTTTGCAATGAGACTATCATTTACAAAATAAAAGACACATTTAAAAGCCCATTTGTCTAATTCATGCAATCGTTTGGGATTATTTATGTGCATGTATAGTATGTATGATCATTTGTAAAAATGATGAGCTCTGAGTATTTTTATGACAACAACAATTGTGTCGCTTCACCTTCAAATTATACTTTTTAACTTCCGGGTTATGTCAGTGAGTGCCGCTATCTGGAGCAATGACATTGTACCAAACAGAGAAACCAGACCGCCAAGTGGCTTACAGTTTGTTATTTAACAAGCTTTGAAACATTAAATAGGCCCGGATATTGTCGTCAACATGTCGTCCACCACCGCAGGTTATACAGAGGAGGGTACGCAAAAGGTAGCACAGGTAAACACAACCTTAAACACGCGTTGGGATGCTAACGTGTTAGCTGGCTAGCTTTAACTTTGGATGAACTGCGGATAGGGTTGTCTGCTGTTGAAAGCTTATTAGTTTGTGAGGTGGGACTGCCTATTTCGCTTGCCAATAAGCCTAGTGCGAATGAACTAACTAACTAACAGAATTAAAGCTAACTCTGGTGAGTGTGTGTGTTTATCTTCAGGAGCCTATGGGCGTTTCGTACATCCCCACAACAGAGGAGAAGAGGGTGTTTAAAGAGTGCGCCCAGGAAAGCTTTTGGTACAGGTGTAAGTCTCTCTCTTTCACATACAAGACATATTAAATGTGTTATGTTGTGTAAATAAACACAGCTAAAAGGAAATATGTCTTCTTAAATCTGACTTCAACATGCTTCCTTTACAGCTGTGCCCTTCTCGATGCTCAGCATGGGTTTCACTCAAGCCCTAGTTGTCAGAGGTAATGCTATTCACAATGGAGAGGAATCAGCCTGTAAAATTATTTTAAACATACTTTACATTTTCAATTGACCCTTTTCTGTTTATTTACAGGTGCTCTGACTGCGCATCCAAAGTTTGGAAGTATACCCAAAGTCGTCTGTAAGTTCATGGTTGTTAAAACTGGGAGATTAGACATTTTGCATCATGTTAGTGGACAAAATATTAAGAACACCTCTAACTGTAAAAAATAAATAAAAGCATGAACCAACAACACAAACTACAGTCCCTAAAAAATAAGTCGATTGGTCTGGTGTTACTAATAAAACTATTATCAGAATCAATCAGATTATTATTCCGGTGGGACATTTGTTTTGTGAAAAATCTTAAATCTGGATCAACACCTCTCCAAAACAGTTTTACTGAAAAACTGAACGTTGTAAAATCTTTAAGGTAGGAATTGACTGTTATTGGACTGCACTAGCATTGACCGTGTTCGCCAAATAAACCGGCAGTGGAGTTTTTATTATTAGTGTGATATGAAACCGCACATCCCCTCTGACTGAATTACGAAATGTTTTTAACTTGTTTTCCTAGTCAATATGTGAGGACTGTCAATAATGTTATTAGCTACTGTATCATATTCACTAACACAACTCTTCTCAGTGATGATATCCCTTGCTCCTAGTTTAAATGTGCCTGAATATTATATGAAAGAGCAAATAGTAATGGCCAAAATAATGTCTGATCAAGAGTGAGGTCTTAAAGAATAAAATATTTAATTACAAAAACGTTTGCCTATCCAGTCGCTGGTGTTTGTGCCTACTTTGCTGGGAAAATATCGTACATGGGAACATGCCAAGAGAAGTTCAAGAGCCTGGAGAACTCCCCTCTTGGAGAGGCCCTCAGAAAAGGACTGCCTCCACGAGTGTGAGTACCACACACACACTTACTCGTGTGTGACTCTATATGCTTTCATCCTCCATCTACTACTTAAATATGTTTCTGTTCTCTTCCCCAGATCCAAAGGCCCTGAGTCAGAGATGAGTGACCCAGACACCCAGTCATTTGACACCATGTTCCAGGCTGCAGAAGGCCCCAGCCACGCGCCTGTCGCCCAAGGTTATGACTACAATTCAGAGTCACCTGTGCCAATGGGCAAAGCAGATGACTTCAGCGCTCCAGGGAGCTACAGTATGTTTTTCAGATACAGTGTAATAATTAGTCTTTTGAAGAGTTGTTAAAATAATCAATATTAAAGAGCGTCATGATGATGAGGTTTCACATTTATAATTGATGCAAACTTGCAAAGACAATGAGCCGAGTGTGCTTTTTCACAGATTAAATAACTGAAGAGTATTTCTTAAAGATAAGTTAGGCTTATTGATGGCGCCAGACATCGTTTTCCTCATTCTACTTAATAAATCAAACTATGAAATGTGTTTCCTACTCCTGCTAAGTTTCACTATGTCCTAGATAACGCTTTTTGTCCCTGTCTACTGTCCCCACCACTTTCAGTTGAAGACGAAGAGCCCAGGAAGAAGCCCATCCTCTATGAGGATCTGAGGGGCAAGAACAGAGAGAACTACGAAGTCACGCTCACTCAGAAGTCAGAGACTCTGCTTAAACCGTCACCTGATAGGGAGCCAGGGAGACCCAGGAAAGACGGTAAGCTTCTAC